GTCAGTTCCCATAGGGTGTACCAGCAATGCTCATAACGACTCATTAAAAATGGAACAGATCGGAAAAAAGAGTGAAAACTCAGTGAGTGCGGTTGATGGAAAATATAGGGTGTTTGGAAATAGAAATGATGACATGAAGCGTACCATAGGACCATTGCGTAAACCTTTAGGGATGAAAAAATAATGTCCTGTATATTTTTATTTCTAACTAGCAAACCCGGCGAACATTTCGTTTGGTGATTAAAAGATGAAGAAATTTTTGGTTGTTTTATATTTTATAAACCGCACAGAGCCCGAGACCTTCCCAACGAATGCAAAACCCTGAAAATAGGTTCGTGCGTTCTGGAGTTATAGCGTCAGGAAGGAAAACTCGACTTATTTTTATATAGGTAGTAGATTTACTCGTATTGGTATTTTTTTGATTGTTAATTTAGATAAGTTTACTACTCGATGTTTTTATAAGTTTTCTGTACGCTTTAGAATGAGCGATGGAATGGAATGAGCCAAGAATGAGCTCAACTAGGGGATGGATGGACCGTTGTATTTTTAAGGGTCATAAAATACTTTCGTTTGTTAATCGATTATTTATAAAACTATTAAAATGCTGCGATTATAAAACTTTTAATGTACTAGCTGAGCAACCGGCTACTGCCGCGGAACGTGTTGCGGGTCCGATTCCCGCACGGAACAACTCTTTGTGTGATCTACAGATTGTTGCTTTGGGTGTCATGTATATGTGAACTTGTTTGTTTTTAACGCACTCATGACACAGAAAAAATCCTAGTGCGGGGCAACGTTTAAAAAAAAGTCATGTTTTTCTAATAATTATGTATATGAATTTATAACTAATAAATATTGTATTATTTGTTTCAGGTAAGCGCGAGCAGTTCCGTAGTTAGATGCATGGCATGCTAAGTAAACGAGTAACGTTCTGCTTACCCCGGTAAGATGCACATATAATATACTTGTGCTGTCCTGGTTGTGGGTAAACACTAATGCAGATATCACCGGCATACATATTTCACTATAGAATAGAATAGTAATCTTTATTTCAGGCTCAGAGCTCATAAACGGTTAGTAACAATTTACTTATACAACTAGTGTTAGTAACACAAATTTGATCATCAATTACAATTACTATTATTATATGTCCAATAACTGAGCTTTAATCGTAAAGTGAAGTTTAGGCATAATATACTGATCTATCCCTGGTGACCGCTGTCCACTAACCCTATTTACAATGTGTTAAGGCATAAATGAACACTTTTGGAATATCTACTACTAGCTTTTACCCGCGGCTTCGCTCGCGTCACCAAAGGATAAAAAGTAGCCTATGTTACATATAACGATATACACAGCGCCATCTATACCAATACTTTTGTTTTCCCTCGGGAATATCAAATTGTTCCGGGATTAAAAGTACCCTATTATTTAATCTGGACTTCGAACTTTACGTCTGCAAACATTCAAAGCTATCGGTTTAATAGTTTCGGCGTGAAAGCGGAACAAACAAACAAACTCACTTTCCGATTTATAATATTAGTAAGGATTATATAATATACATTTACAAGAAAAAGACATTCAACTATACAATGGGAAAGACTAATAGATCCTGTAAAGAGGTAAAGGAAGACCAAGACTGATACGTACAGGTCAACACAATGTTTAGAAAATACTTTTGTATGAACTAATTTTGGGAATTTTCGGTACTATATATCAAGTGATCGCCAAACTGGAGGCCTTAAAATTATTGATTTCTAAAAAACTACGTAAATAACTAGCAGTAAGCTTAGACCACTTTTGACAATGCTATAAAATTTACCTTCCCTGATAATTTTGGTCTAAAACACCGTAGCTCTCACAAAACAGAAAACTCATACCTAATTCCTAAATGATTGCCTTGACTGCACGGTTGGTACGGTGGCTAGGCAACCGGCTGCCGTGCAACGTGTCGCAGGTTCGATTCCCGCACGGAACAACACTTTGTGTGATCCACAAATTGGTGTTTCGGGTCTGGGTGTGATGTGTATGTGAACTTGTATGTTTGTTAACGCACCCACGACACAGGAAATAATCCTAGTGTGGGGCAACGTTTTTTAACTCGTCGAGTACCGTATTTATAGACACAATTAAAGAACAATAGGTCGCGGTCACCGGTGACCGCTTGGTGTTTGACAGTTTAAAAGAGAAACAACGTTTTTTTTTAAAGAGATTGTGATTGAATCTTGATCCTAAATCTACTGAGGTATGTCATTATTACCCAATTTTAGTATTTAGCAGATAAGTACTGGGTAAATAATTCACAGCGTTTTATTGGCCATTACTACAGCGTCGATTGTACCATCAAATGATCATATTTCAACCCTTATCAACGTTTTATACGTTAAAATATACGATCTTAATGTCCGTATTTGAAGCAAAATAATATAGCCGAACTCTTATTCTTTTAAGTAGGTACTGAATTTTTGGTATTTGAAGTTACTAGATCAGTGATAAAGTTACGGCAATACATTTAATTGTCACTACGACTCTAGTCCCTTCAAATGTCGCGGAGAACCTAACAGGTATCCGGGGCTCCGGCTCGACGTGCAGGAGAAGGAACGGGGTGGTTTTAGTCATCAAGAGTCTGACACTCCCTTCCGCCTCACCCAGGCGGGAGCAGTTATTCGATGATTTCCCACCCTTAAAAAAAAATACTGTCACAGTACCCTAGTCCTACAAGAAATCGAGTACTTATAACGTCAACCCACCAATAATAGATCCCTTTAATCCTAGCTAAACAAATGAACTCACATAATTAATCAAATGTCTACCTATCAATGTAAGGTAATTTAAACTGTGTGTCTTCGTGTCTAGGTTGAATTATGTGTGCCTGAAAACTGGTTTTTAGGACATTTTGATTAGTGATTGCACCCTTGTAAGGGTGATAGTTAGTAATTACAATTGCGTGTCTGCCTGTTTTTACGTTAGTTAGGAACGCGATAACATAAATTAATTTCAGTTAACTTTAGCTTGTATTTTACAGTAATTTGTTTGTATAAGGTTACTTAATGTCTAGTTAGAACTGGAGAAATCCTTACTATATAATATTATAAATCGGAAAGTGAGTTTGTTTGTTTGTTTGTTCCGCTTTCACGCCGTAACTACTAAACCGATTGCTTTGAATTTTTACAGACGTAAAGTTAGAAGTCCGGATTAAATAATAGGGTACTTTTTAACCCGGAAAAATGTGATATTCCCGAGGGAAAACCAAAGTATTGGTATAGATGGCGCTGTGTGTATTGGTATATGTCACATAGGCTACTTTTTATCCTTTTGTGACGCGAGCGAAGCCGCGGGTAAAAGCTAGTTTCTCCATAAAATACATGGTATTTAGTGACACACCTAACACTATTACTTGTGCTAGGTGTGTTTTGTCTAGACATTATTTATTTTGTTTGTCTATACATTCTCTGTATTTGTCTATGTAACGTGTCTAGGTAAATCAAATTTGATTATACGAACTGTAATAATTTTGACACAAAACAAATATCAAAATTCAATTTGAGCTCCACAGACCTTACGTGTTCATTAAGCTAATCAATTATAGATTTTAAATCCTATTTTAAAAGTAATAAAATTGCTAATCCTAATTAACAAATCGCTGCAACGCAAAGGGTGAAAAGCCAGGCTACTCAGTTTAATACAATGTTTTTCACAAACATATTGTTATTTTCATTCCTAACAATGGCTGTCAAAACATTTCCTACCAGCATTACCATTTCAAACGAACCAAGTTTTGACAGCCCCTACTTGATACATGTACCCAATTGAAATTCAACTCCAACCGCTCACATTTAGAATACCTTTTCCCTTAAACTTGTTATGATTATCCTATGTGCTTGAAACTTTGGTTTTATGTACTAATCTTGTTTATTATTTGTTATGTCTTGAATGGAATTTGTACGCCTCCATTATAAGCAAGTTGTAAGCCGTATTGTTCAGTTTTAAGTGCTGTCGAGGAATTATAACTCGTATTGTTTAGGGATTAAGTTATTAATTCATTAGTGCTTTCTTGTTTCGTCTGTCGGAAAATTTCATTCTTGTAGGAATTTCTGTTGCTACTTTAATAGAAGGACGTTAGTAAAAGTAAATTTGTACCTATTGATTTCGTAGTTAAATACATACTAATTAGAATCACAATTCCGCACGTCATCACTATTCCGGAGTCTAGACATTTAGCAGTATTCAACTCCCTGTGTCTTGAAAAGTTTATCTTGGACCTGAATTCACCGATATCGTGTCGGATGACGCAAAGAATCAGCCCTGATGGGCCCTATCCGTGGAGGTCTGGTAGCTCTTTGAAACGCGCGCGGAACGCGACGCGCGTACGCTCGTGTCTGGTTCTGGGGGCTTACTCTTGAAACAAAACTCAATGTCAATTTCAAACCAATCCAATGACAATACAATAATAAGTGCGTACTCTTGACCAGCTTGGAATTAAGATCGCATTAATATTGGGATTGCGTTCGTATTGGAAAGATAGGAGTGAAGTTAGCTGCACAATAGTGAGGACCTATGCGTTTGTTGCTGTATCGATAAAGTGAATGTAGAATAAAAAACTACAGTTTTTAACCAATTTTTATGTTTTAATTGAAAAGTGCATTGTAAAAAAAATTTAACATTGTTTGATTCCCATATTCATTAATGCTTTTCAATAAAATTAATATTATTTAAACAAAATATATGAATTATAGGCTGTTTGAGCTGATCCATTTGCTTGAAATGACGTTGTTGACATAAGACTTATTGTTGACATATTTTGACAGTTTGCGTTTGGTTTGAAAATTTTTGAAATATTAATGCGAACTTTTATTTTTCTTTAATTAAAACTTAAAAGTGTGCTGCAAAGATTAAAAAACTCAAGGCAAGTCTTATAAAATATTAATTGTTATATTTGATGTTATCGGGAAATTGGTTATGTCGAATTGTCTCACAATGTTTATATTTTTTTAGGTAAAATGTCCAATCGCCCTTCAACTTTACAATAATAATTAGAAACCCTTGTGGAGTTTCTTGAACAAAATCCCGGAATCGCGAGGGGTTTTTTAAGAACTTCGCTAGGGAAACAAGAAAGTAAACAAAAATGGGCAGAAATAGCTGTTACTTTGAACGCTCTAGGCGGCGTCATCAAGGATGGACCCGGATGGTCAAAGGTAATGTATTTTTATTTTTAGCAACATATGAATAAATTAAAATGTTACACAATATAATTAACTAGTACATACATACTTTATTTTACTTATAGTACTGGGCTGAAAAAAAATGCAGCCTGAAGAAGCTGTGTTCCCAATATGCAGCTTCTATCCGGCGGACTGGTGGAGGAGAAGGTGAAAGATGCTCGCTGTCCCAGTTAGACAAACGGCTTGTAGCAGTGATGGGAGGCACAAGTTTTGCGTCTGGTGACAGCGAGCTAGCTGTAAATCCTTTCCCACAAATGGTAATATTTATTCATATTAATGACTGCCTCGTTGGCCGAGTGATCGCAAGTGTGACTGCCGAGCAAAGGGTCTCATAATTAACTAATAACATAACATCACGCCTTTTACCCCTGAAGGGGTAGGTGGAGATGCACATTACGGCACTTAATGCCACTGTATAATGTAAACCCACTTTTCACTATTTATGTTATGAGTCCCATGTAATAGGGGGTGAGCCTATTGCCATATACCAGGCAAAATTCCAGACTCCGTGCTACTACTGAGTTTTTTTTTTTTTTCCAGTAATTCTTTGCCTGACCCGGGAATTGAACCTGAGACCCCGGGTTTTCTTTATTAATCGAGTCTTAATTAATCTTTAAGCAAATAATAAATAAAATTTTTATATTTTACAGCATTCTTCTGTTGTAGAATCTGAGTCGACTTCTACAATATTAGAATTTAGCGAAATGGATGTTGAAATCATCTCTGTTCCTCCGCCAAATTTAGCTACTTCAGGAACCTCAAGGGCTGAAACGGCTGCTGCTCCTGACGCAGTACCACCTCAAACTAGTAAGTAAATTTTTACCTGCCATTAAATTAAATTAATATTTCATAAAGTCCACCAAATAGTTTACCAAATTTCTTACTATTAATGCACAATATAATTATTAGACATACCATTAACCAACACTTCTTTATCACACAAGGCACTAAATGACCTTTAAAATGGTTTAAAAACCAAACTTTTGTTAGTTTAGTGTGCTATGTTATATGTATAGTTCAATATGTTCCTTGGAAGTAAAATATGAATTTGTATCTTTTTTAAGGTACCAATACAAACACCTCTCGTCGTCGGTCACGTCGTTTACTCTCTAGGACAATTGATACCGAGATGGACCGTATGGCAAGGATTGAGGAACGACGCGTTGAGGCTGAGAGGTTGAGTGCAGAGGCCTTATCCGACACGAGCCGAAGACTAGAGAGGCTCGCAGATGCTGCCGAGCAAATAGCTGTTGCCATAACGGGGGTGGCCAATGCTCTTCAACAAATAGCAAATAATTTAGGAAGGACCTAATAAACGTCAATAGTTTGAGTCCTTCCTAGATTACTTTATTTAGCAATTATTGGTTTATTTTTTAAATGTTTGAGGTATGTTAAAATCGTAGTAATTGGTGTTTCATAGTCTCTGCCTATCTCCATGGGAGATAGACGTGAGGTTACGTATGAATGTATGTACTTACCTATGTGTATGGTGTTTTTTATTGTAAAAAAGACTGATTTAGTTGTGATTATATCAATATTTTGTTATTTAATTTATAAACTAAGATAAGCAAAGTAATTTTACATATTATTTTCACAATGTATAATGTGTGATAGAAATTATTAGTGGTGTATAATTGTTATTGTCAGATGAGAGATTTAAAAAAGACTCGATTTATTTGTGATTATATTGACATTATGTTATTTAATTTATGATCTAAGATAAGCAAAGTAATTTTACATATTATTTTCACTATGTATAATGTGTGATAGAAATTATTATGTATAATTGTTATTGTCAAAATGAGAGATTTAAAAAAAGACTGATTACATTAGGAGCCATCCTAAAATTTTATTTTAAAGACTTTTAATTTTACATTAATTTCTAAATAAAACTACAAAAATTAATTTCAAAGTTTTTTATTTTATATTTTGTATCTTTGAATCAACATAAAAATTTATATAAGAAAAAAAACTTATTATCTACGAGCTGCCCATAATTGCTGAACTAAAGAATTTCGTATTTCAATCCCTCTCCTTAGTTCAGCAATCGATGGATCAGTCACACGGGCTTCTGGTGGTTCAGAGGAACTTTCATTTTGATTACTTAAATCAACATCAAAATCACAATTATTTATTTTTCTAAATTGGTTACAGATATTGTGTAACACACAGCAGCTATTAATAATTTTAGATGCTTTTATAGGGTGATAGTGCAGCACTCTGTGCCCCAACAAGCATCGCCACCTATTCTTGAGGACTCCAATAGTACGCTCCACTACATTGCGAGCGGAGCAATGCATCTTGTTATAAAACTCTTCTGGAGAACCTTCAGCAGCATCCACAATAGGGGTCATCATGTATGTCCTTTGGGCATATCCAGAATCACCTAATGAAATAAAAATATGAAATTAAATAACTACACTTTTACAACTATTCATTACAAATCAATTATTTTCTAGTAATTTACCTAGAAAATATACATTTTCCCCAGCATCATTAAGGGTGATTAAGTGGCTCTTAATACTGTGCTGATTCCAAATGAAACTGTCATGAGTTGCACCACCAAAGGATGCATCCACAGACAGAATGTTTAAATCGGCATCACAGATCTAAAAAAAAGTTAACTATTATTTTTATGATACAGTAAAAATATAATTATGTATAAGAATCACTTATTTGATTAAAATTCTTAATTGTCATGTCCCTGAACACTTACAATCATAACATTTCTTGAATGGAAATGCTTCCTATTAAAAAATCTTTCTTCGTTTTCTGATGGCCGCACTATTGCCACATGAGTGCCATCGATGCAGCCCAAAACTGCAGGGATCCCAAATTTTTCATAAAACCTGAATAAACAAATATCTCAGCATTTGTTCAAATATTTTGGTAAGTATCTTAAAGGAGTATCTTAAATAAAGGACATTAACTTACCGTCTTTTAATAAGATCCCTCTGTGAGCGAGTTTGGGGAAACTTTACCCACTTCTTTAAAATGTTTTCTTGATTTAAAGCGATTACCGTATCATTAATCGCCTTAGAAACAGACTGCTGGGACATGAGTGTCCCAAACGTGCTCCCAACAAGCTTTTGGTAGCTGCCAGTGGCGAAGAATGAGAGTGCTACCAATAACTGTAAATCGAAAATATTTTATTGAATACAAATAATTTAATAGGTGTATTGAATTTTATACATTATTTTCTACTTACTTTATATTTAGGTGATATATCACTTCTCCTCTTCACAACTGGCAAGTAGGGCCGCAACTCCTCATAAATTTCGTTAAATAAGCTTTTGGGGACGCGATAATTTGCCACAAACTCCTCGTCACCCATGGAGAAAGCCTTATCCATATAACGCGCCAAGCGACGCTCATTTCTTCGTATTTTTAATTGCATTCTTCGCGTATTTTGCAAAAACACAAATGGTAGAGCTAAACGTGCCATTTCTATTGCAAAAAGAAAGCTAAATTTGCTTATAATTAAAAAACAATATAAACAAAGTACCACTTTTGTTATTGGGAAAATCTCAATAATAACAGAATGTCAACACAATGCTAACCCTATCGTAGCTGTCAAAATAGCGTCCAGAGTACGAACTAAACTCAATCTCGATGCCAATTAGTTCATTCAATATCCACCCAATACGAATACAACGTGGTGCTAGTGTTGCGACTCAAGAGTACGAAACGTCACAATATCAATGTCGATCGATCGGAATTGGATTCAAGAGTAAGCCCCCTGGTCGGGCGGCGAGCTACCCATGCTAGCAGTCCGCAGGCCCGTGCTTACGGTGGCCGGAGATCGTCCCGCGATCCCCGACGCCTAGTGTCCTTCACAACGGCTGCCTCACGCGCCTTAACTCCTGCTTAGCTATCATGACGGCTTCGCAAAAGGAGGAGACGGCATCCCAGTCCGCCGGAAGAGAAGATGATTCCCTATGGGAACTAGTACAGCTTTTCTCAGTACATTTACGTGAGTAACTCGTAATTTTTAGTTGATTCAGGAGGTCTCACGATAATTAATTATAAAAATATAATATATTGATGATGATCGTGATCGTTTAATCTTTGTTAAGATGTGCCGATGTATTAGAAATCGTTTAGGAGACCATTAACAAACGTTTTGGTAGTTTCAACATTATAATTCATATTTTCTCTATCGATAATAAAAATTTTATAGGACATTTTATACCCATAAAACCAAACTAAGTGTATAACATAATCTATCGGCTTTCGATGAAGGGTTTCATGCTTTTAATCTGGTTATAGCGTTAAGTGCACTACTTAACCTTTAGCCCGCTGTGCTAGATTCTCAATGGGACTATAAAGTAGGCTTCATAGATTTATAGGTATTAACAAAATAGTAACTTCTTAGTCGATGAGGCTTGACATATAGACATATCTTTGATAAAAGCCTCTAAAAAAATATAATTTTGATTAAAAAGGAACTCCTTATAAGAGCTTTTGTTTAGCAATTAATGTCTTTTCGCTTATATGATAATGATGTTGATTATGCAATTGTATAAAACTTCAATAAATAAGTAAATAACAATAACGATGAAAGCCTAAGTGAGTCAATATAGAAGTCTAGAAATTATATCATCCTTTGTTGATTACGGACGGCAGATGGCAGTAACTTCAACCTAAAATTGAGTATGAGCCCCTACCGTAGCTTGAAAGTAATCGAGTTCGTGAGAAAGTCGTTAAATATATATAATTAACGCTTTTTGAGATATAAAAGATGTTACGACATTGTTGCCCACCTATTTGTTATGTTAGCAAACATTTCACAATTTGGTTTAATTCGTAATAAACTCATTTTCAGTTTTCTTATTTTAAAAAACGTTGCCCCACACTAGGATTTTCTCCTGTGACGTGGGTGCGTTTACAAACATACACATGCATGACACCCAGACCCGGAACAACAATCTGTGGATCACACAAAGAATTGTTCCGTGCGGAAATCGAACTCAAACCACGTTGTGCGTCAGCCAGTTGTCCACCCACCGCGCCAACTGTGCAGTTGATATCACTGTGATCTATTATTCAAGCGTGTTTCAGTTTAAGCTCATACATAACTATATTTATGTATGTTTGCCTAATCACAAACACGTGAAATGTTAATGCAATCTAGCTACCCTAGTGATTGCTTGCTATGCTTGACGCGCAGGTACATAGGTACATGGTATTTATATGTTCGTATGTAGTATATATGTGTATGTAGGTATGTGACACAGATTGTAATGAGCTAATTGATGGAGCAGTTACAACGACAATAGGTTTCATCAGGGAAATGTTTACGATACGACCTCCAACTCTTACCGTTTGTGTGGTAAGGGATGTTTTTAAGGGGGGAAAATCATCGAATGACTGCTCCCGCCTGGGTGAGGCGAGCGAGTGTCAGACTCTTACTGACTAAAAACCACCCCGTTCCTTCTCCTGCACGTCAAGCCGGAGCCCCGGTTACCCGTTAGGTTCTCCGCGACGTCGTAAAGGACTACATATTTGACAGAGATCGAAAGAAGAAAAGAAAAAAAGAAAATTACATTTCACACGCTAACGCGTTTTTTAGCGTCAAACACCATAATATTTTCTTAAAAATTTCCTGGAAAAATACTATAATTAAGTTGATCATAAAATCAATCCCATATATCCCCAAGCGGTCACCGGTGACCGCTCTCCACTAACTACATTATAGACCTTATTTCCAATGTTTAGAGACTACTTTTGTATGAACAAATTTAGGGGATGATTTTCAACAATTTTCAACGGGAGAGTGATTATTTTTTAATATTTCATTGTATTGAATAGTCGAAATAATTTATTTTTGATAAAGGCCCTCTATCCAATTATATATACATCTGCATGTGTGCTAACAAACTTAGCTCCCTACCTACCTACCTACGTGAAACGCATCAAGCTATATAAACCAGTTTATTATTACCTCGCTTTGTGTGAGCATTCCGCACGCTTACAGGTCATTTTATACTGGTTATGGATACTTCGATGTGTGTATGTACCACAGGGTTCATAGGGTTGCTACATATTGATTCCCGTGTGTAATCTCACCGAGCTAGGGTTGCCACGGATATTGCATTTCCACCCCACACATAGCATGTAACCCACACAATTAAATGGAAACATGAGTCATTTGTTTTAATATACTCCCCTTGATTATATTATTTAGTATCGAAGTTAGTAAATAAAATTTTATTTTAAGTGTATTGTGAGGTTTTGTAGGGTGAATGTTATTGCTGAGTAACAAGCCTGGGGTCAATTTCTGCCTCTTTGACCGAGTGGTCACAAGTGCGA